AAGGGCCAGACCTTCATCCTTCAGAAAGGCGTGGTACATCAGCCCGAAAAGGAACCTCAAAACTTCAACAAGCCCATGTCACCGAGCTGGGGTGAGGTTCCCAGAGGAGGCCTCTCCTGAGCCTGACTGCAGCTCTTGTCTCTACCATGCTGAGACCTTCCAGCTGGTATTACTGTGAGCTCTGTGGGAGCCCAGCCCCAGGCATGGGTGACTGGGGTTGTGCAGGGGCCGGGAGTCCCCTGGCCTGGGCACTTACATCTAGTAACTGGAAAGTCTTCAGATATGAGGCCAGGTATTACTCAGCTATCAGAAGCCCTAGAAAGAGGAGGCGATCACTACGTGAGAGCTGTCATTCAGTGTCCCAGTCCCCCATCCGAGGGGGAGGGTTGATAGAGGAGGAAGGTCCCCAACCAGGATGTCAGAACCAGCATGGGTCCTGGCCCCAGATTTTGTCCATTGAAACACAGTATCTTCAGTAAAACAGACAGAATCTATTATCTCAGGCCGGGCGATCTAGTGCATCCATTGTTCCACATTGGCCTTGACCAAAGACCTCCATCTGAACCTTGAGCCTCTGCAAAGATGTTTGCCCACTGTCCCCCAAGGCAGCTTGTCTCTCTCTCGGGCAGCTCTCACCACCATGAAAAGCCTTCCCTTTAGAGAGTTCAGGTGTGCGCCAGTCTTGTGCTTGTCCGTCCTGAAAAGTTCAGAAAGCATGTCCCCTCTCGCTAGAACCAGCTGTGGTGTCCACCAGCACCTGGGCTAGGTGAGGGGAGCACGGGGCAAAGCCAGATTTTCAGGTCCCCCCTTCACTGCCTTCTCCCCTTGCTGCCTGGGCAGCTCCCCTGCTTGCTGCCAGGCATGGCCTCCTTGCTCTGGCCACATAGGGAGGAATCTTTTCTGTCCCTGCCTGCACACCCAAGAGCATCTGACCCCACCATGAGCTCAGCCCTTTGTAATGAAGTTCAAAGGCTGCAGACACAGGCTTTGGCCTGGCCTGAGCTCTGGGCCTCAGCCTTCTGGCCTTTACCCTCTAGAACAAACACGCCTTTGGCTCTGGCCAGTGTCCCCCACTGTCACAGGGCAAATCAGGGCCTGCCCACACGTTCCCTCTCCTCTCCTTTCTCAGATGAGAGATTAAGAGTGGAGACAGTTGATCTGGAATAGGATTGGGGTTCTGGACTCAACTCCTGAGGTTGAGGGGGGGCACAGGAACAGCTCAGGGGTGCCTGAGGTAACAGGAGACAAATTGCTGGGGCTTTGTGACCTGGCATCTTCAAAAGTCAGTGCCTTTGGAAGAAACAGATAATGCCAGAGCGCTACAACCAAAAGGCAAAGGCCGTTGTGGTTTTGATCACAGCCAAGTGCAACCGTGAGCTTTCTTCAAATCTGAGCTCAAAAAATAAAAATCTCTGCACAGTGTTTGGGGATTTGAAAGTGAACTGAACACAGGACATGCTGAAGAAGGTCCATCAACTTTCTTGAATGTGATAATGGTGATATGTGGGAGTCTGGTGTGCTCAGTGCTTAGTACTTAGTTCTTAGTACTTAGTGTTTAGTACTGTGTGCTATAGTCATGATCTCTCATTCCTTTCCAATAATTCCATAAAAGAAGAAAGAAAGCAGGGGGCCTGGGCCAAAGGCGAGGGGACGATGGGAAGAGGGGCAATCAGTGCTCAGCAAGGCAAGGAGTCCTCCCAAGGCTCCTTGGAGCCCAAGTGTGAGTGGAGTCTCACTGCAGACTGCGGTCCAGTGTTCTTCCAGGAACACCTGGCATGGGCTCCTATGTGTGCAGAGCAGCCCAGTGAGGTGTCCTGATGTCTCCAGAGGTCCCCTGGCCTGTTCCTTCCAGAGACCCAGCAGAGAGAAGCTCCATGGAGATCAGACCCTGTCTGCAAGTCACTGGGGAGCCACCAGCCCAGCTTGCTGCAGGCAAACTTGGAAGACCACCCCCCATCCTCCCAAGCAGCAGGCCTACCGCTTCCTAGAACTGGCCAGGCCCCTCCTGGGGGCCCCAGCTGGGGGCTGTTGTCCGGGGATGTGATGCCCAGTTCAGAAGTGCTGGCTAGGCCAGGTGTCAGTGGCTCACGCCTGTAATCCTAGCTACTCAGGAGGCAGAGATCAGGACTGAGGTTCAAAGCCAGCTTGTGCAATCAGTTTCATGAGACCCCATCTCAAAAAAACCCTTCACAAAAAAGGGCTGGTGGAGTGGCTCAAGGTGTAGACCCTGAGTTTAAGCCCCAGTACTGAAAAAAAAAATGCTGGCTAGGCTCTGGGGGCAGTGCGAGATGGGGAACGGATGGTGCCAGATGCCTGTCTGCTATGCTAGGGACAGGTGCAGGGCATGACTGTGATCTCCACACTCAGGAGGCTAAGGCAGGAGGATCCTGAGTTGGAAGCCAGCCTGGGTTACAGAGGCCCTATAGCCAACATCCCTCCGCGCCGCCCCCCCAAAAAAGCATGCCCACCAGCAGTCTGCTGCTCATGCATCTTGTCTGTAGCTGCGCCCTGAAGGCTGGGAGGTGGGGAAAGGGGAAAGAAGGGCAGAGAGTGTGTGGGAGCAGAAAGAGCTGGGAAGGGGGAGAGAGAGGGAGGGCTGGGGAGGAAGAGGTGATGTCAAGTGGGAAAACAGACATGGGACAGGACAACTGAGGCTCCCTGGGCTTCCTGGGGTAAATGTAGGTGTGTGGGTGGGAAGAGCTCAGGAGACCCTGTCAGGGCAATGAGCCCCGTGCTAGGCTTGTGGCTCACAGCTGGGCACTGACTCCCCTTGCCCCTCAGATGGTGGGATGTCAGCCTTCTTCATATGGGAGCAGGTGGGGGTGGCACCGGTGGAACTTGCCCAAGTCACACAGCTAGTCAACAGCAGGGGTGGGACTTGGATCTAGGTCTGTGTGGCTCCCAGTCTGTGCTTGTGACCTTTCCTCCACAGCCCCTGAGAACCCCTGGTGCCACGTGCCTTGGGAACTGCTGAGCTCTGCAGCGAGGAGCCAGCCGGGGCCAGCCAGGCCCATAGTGGGGCTGCATAGAACTTGTGGTCCACAACCACAAGATTTAGGCACTTGAGGTGTCTGTCCTGAGCTAGGCTGGTCAACTCCAGGAAGGGCTGGACTGTCACCAGTTCACATGCCTGGCGGGCCCCCCTGGGCTGCCCAGGAAGACACAGGCAGAGCTGAGTCTGTGTCTCTCTTGCCCTGACAGAGAGAGGTCCACCCCTGGGAGGGAGACTCTGGGACACGGCCTAGACCAGGAGTGAGGAGAGGTGATGGGTGGTGAGGACATCTGTCTGAGTCAGGCCATAAGGCCAGGCTTTGGCTGGGCAGAAAAGAGAGAAGCATTCCAGGCCAGAAGGCCACCAGGAAGAATCAAGGGCCTGGAACGAGCCACCTCAACTCCTCAATGTGGATACTGTGGAGTCTGGAACTTTCTACCTGGAAGGGACACGGTGGTTCCCAGATTGCCCCTCAGGCTGAGCCTCGGGTCCACGAACCACCCACTCTGTGTTTTTCCTACCGTTTCGCTACAACTTGATTTTTTTTTTTCCACCTGACCTCATTAGCAATAGTATATGTGACATCGTGATCTGGAATGCACTTTCTATCTTTTAATGCAAAGTAAGATAAACGCATGGCTCCTAAAATTACAAACTTCAACTTTGCAACACATAAAGAGAACTTGAGTGACCACCTGGGATTCCGCTATGGAATTGAAAACGTCCAACAATGTCATCCGATGGGGAGTTGGATGCCAGAGAGAGGGGAGGGCTTGCCTGAGGTCACCAGTGGCCACAGGCTTGGTCCAGGGCTCCTCTCTCTCCAGCATGACTCTGTGCAAGCAGAGAGAGAAAGAAGGTGGGAGACAGGTGCAGTGTAGACAAAGGGGAGGAGAGAACAGTGGGAGATGGCTCTGGCAGACTGGCTCTGTGGTGCTGTTTCCCTTCATCTTCATTTCAGTGAGGAAACTCTCTCGCCCCTTTCTGTCCGGAGGGGTGGGAGACTCCAGGTGCCTCAGCAGGAGGGGAGGCGGGGGCTGGGGGCACCAGCTGGGCCAGGTGCTGTTTGTGGCACAGAGCACTTACAGTGTGCCAGGCCCCAGGCTTGTGCTGCAATGCAGGGCTTCCCTGTTGGAGGTGGAGCCACCCCTGGACTCCACCTGCCGTGGCTCACATCTGTCCTCTCACCGGGCAGGGCCCAGGGGAACATCCTTGCTGCTTGACGGGGACCATGTGGCCCATGATGGACGTGTGAGAAGGGCCATGCTCTAGAACAGGGAACCGGTGTGTCCACAAGACACTGGATTCAGTAGTCCTGGACTGGACCCAGGAATCCACATTTGTAGTAAGTGACATTGGTGGCTCAGGGGCGTCCTCCACCACAGGCGGCTTTGGTACAGGTGATTTGTGAGTCACACGTTGACAGTCATGCTCCAAAGAGTATTCTGGCATAGGAGTCTCAGATTTCCAGTCCAGAGACCTGGGTTTAGACCCCTGCTTCTCTGGGTGGCTGTGGACAAGGCACTTCTCTGTGTCTGGATGTGTAGTGCTAAAAGATTTCTTGTGGCTTAGACAGTCCAGAAGGGATCAGAGTGTGTGGTGGCCCCCAGCCCACCCCAGCCAATGGTATTTTCAGCCTGTGAACACAGCCTCCTCTACCTTCATCTTGCTCTGCGTGGAGCACAGGTGTGGACACCTGGGAGGCGGGCATCTGTGCTGTGCATCACATGGCATGTTCCTCGGTAGTGAAGGATCCAGACTTTCCGGAAGGCGGGCTGCCCATGCGGATCAAAAGCAGGTGCAAATGACCTTATGCCGGACCTGATTACAGCCAGTCCAGTAGCCAGGCTGGGAACACAGTGGGTGGAGTTTGTAGCAGCTCAGCTCGGTCCCTTCCTGCTGCTTCCCGAGGGCCAGCACTGGGCCTTGCTCAACTCCTGCCTCCCTGTCGGAAGCAGTGGCACCAGTACAGCGGCTGGCCTGACCCCTGTCTTTCCTGGCCTCTCAGATGTCCTGGCGTCCGCAATACCGCAGTTCCAAATTCCGAAACGTCTACGGGAAGGTGGCCAATCGGGAGCACTGCTTTGACGGGGTCCCCATCACCAAGAATGTGCACGACAACCACTTCTGCGCTGTCAATGCCCGCTTCCTGGCCATCGTCACCGAGAGTGCAGGAGGCGGCTCCTTCCTCGTCATCCCCCTGGAGCAGGTAGGTGGCTCTGGGTTTTCTTGAGAGTCGGCAGGCCTGGGATCCAGGACACCTGGCACTTGTTCCAGAGCTTGCTCAGGTGTGCGCTTCGCCAGTCGCTGCCCGATGTACATGGCTTCCATCCCCGAGGGGCAGGAGCATGTTGTCTGAGACCAGGTTGGGCTGTGTGGTCCACCCTGGCTGTCCTTTGGGACTCAGCCCTGGCCACAGATACTGGCCCTGTGCAGACGGACTGGCGACAGTTGGCCTCTCCCAGGTCCCCACCTCTGCTTCATGGGCTCCTGGAATGAAAGCAGCAGATTAAAATCTGCAAACTGAAGCCAGGCCACTTTAAAGCAGCACCATTCAGCACAGGTTGGAGGCCCATATGCACCCTCGGAAGCATTTACTGTCACTCCCCTTATGGCTGAGTCCCCCTTCCAAACCTGACTCATTGCCACTCCCACAGTCAAACCACTCAAGGAAGGAGGAGGTGCTCGTGGGAGGAAACCCTGGCTCCTGAGATGCCCTGCCAGCAGCTGGTGGGGGCCAGCCGGTTTGCAGTCTGTCTTCCCACGGGGCGGGGCGTGGGGGGGACAGATGTGCAGAAGGCTTAGGTCACACCCCCCTTCCCAACATCGGGCAGCTGCTGACCCTGAGAACAGGCCTGACTTTGAGGAGGCAGCAGGCTGGATCCTGCCACTCGCCAGCCACGGGAGCTCAGGTTGCCACTCAGCATCTCTGCCCTTATGTCCCCGTGATGGTAAATGAGGTTGAGACGCCTCCCCAAGGAAGAGGAGTGCTCTGGAGAGAAACCCTGGCTCCTGAGATGCCCTGCCAGCAGCTGGTGGGGCCAGCCGGTTTGAGCTCTTTCTTCCCACGGGGCGGGCGTGGGAGGACAGATGTGAGAAGGCTAGGTCACACCCCCTTCCCAACACGGCAGCTGCTGACCCTGAGAACAGGGCCTGACTTTGAGGAGGCAGCAGGCTGGATCTGCACTCGCCAGCCGCCTGGCCCCATAACAGAACTGACCCCACAGGGACCTAAGGAAGAACTAAGAAAGGAAAGGAGGGAGGGGAGGAAAGAAGAGGAGGGGACAGGAGGGGGAGGGGGAAGGGAGGGGAGAGGAGAAGGGAGGGAAGGGGAGGAGAGGAGAGGAGAGGGGATGAGAGGGGAGGGGAGGAAAAAGCAGCTAGTGTATTAGAGCAACGTAGAGGCATTTTTAAAGATTGACTCATGGGGAAGCTCTCAAGCAGGATAAGCAAAGCCCCTGTATTACCATCAGGTATTTAAACAAAATTAAAAGTCAACCCACATACTTGAGTATAAAATTTGCAACATATAACAAAGAAAAGATTTGTGTCAGCCAGGCGCCGGTGGCTCACGCCTGTAATCCTAGCTACTGAGGAGGCAGAGATCAGGAGGATCATGATTTGAAGCCAGCCCGACAGATACTTCCAGAGACCCTATCTGGAAAAAACCCTTCACTAAAAAGGGCTGGTGGAGTGGCTCTGAGGTGTAGAGCTCTGAGTTCAAACTCTAGTACTGCCAAAAAAAAAAAAAAAAAAAAGAAAAAGAAACATTTGTGTCCAGAGTTCTAGAAAAATCAATAAGAAAAAAATCCAAAAGGAAAGTGGACAGGAAGATATGCATAAGCAATTCACAGAAGACAAAATGTGTCCTTCAACCCTGCTGGAAAAGACACAAGAGTAACGATCTTCAGTATTGCCAAAAGTCTGAGAGAGGAGAGGCTGAATGCTGTCGGTGAGATATCCAGGTGGCAGGCGGGCAGCACCCGTTGGCACTGAAAGATGCATGTGCACTGGCTAGCAATCCCACTCCAGGAATCAAAAAATGTTAGGAAGCCAGGCTTGGTGGTGCATGCACACCTGTAATCCCAGCACTTGGGAGGCTGAGACAGAATCACAAGTTTGAGTCAGGTCCATAGAGAGACACTGCCTCCAAAAACACAAAGTCTGCAGCATTTTTTGTATTGTACTTTTTTAACCTCAATTTTTAAAGTTCTTTTCTGCAGTGATAAAATTTCTCTGTCAGATTGCTTAGAAGGTTCTAAACTCTGGTCTCGGTTTCTATAACGGTAGTAGACGAGTTTTACGGAGTCAGGAATGCTGGTCTAGAGGGCAGAGTTCAAAACTTTCACAGGCGTCAGAAAAGAAAGCGCAGGGTCCGTGCAGAGATAAGCTGTGCTGTGTGCATATAGGCACAGGGCTCCGACGTTGCTCACGCTCTGTGACATGGTGTTTATAACGTGACTAATCGTGATCCTGGCGGCTCTCACTACCACCTGTTGCTCTCATGTCAAGTTGACCTTACAAGTACCCAATCACTTATGCAGCATTTATAATAGTGAAAAACTGGACCCTGGATGTCCATAACTGACACGGCACATCAACGAATTCCCTGTGTGGATTCTGTGCAGCCATGTGGAGGGATCACTCTCAAATGCCCCTCTCAGCATCATGATAAACTCATAAAAAGTAGCAAGGACTCTAGGACTGGAAAGTGGCTCAGGTGGCAGAGTGCCCGCCTAGCAAGTGTGGTGCCCTGAGTTCAAATTCTGGTACTGCTGGAAGGTAATTAAGGACTCTGGAGCGCTTTTTATATTTTTAGCATGTCCAAAATAAAATGAAAGAATGCTACAAATACGTATACATTAATTCACGTAAAATACTGATAATAAACCCACTTCATGCTCTCCTGAAAACACATTTTTATGAAAAATATATACTTGTTATCTATATGGTAACATACACACATATACACAGACACATATACATAAGGTTTGAACTCAAGGCCTTGCTCGCTAGGCAGCTGCTCTACCACTTGACCCATGCCTGCAGTGAAGAAGAACTACATTTTCAAAACCAAAACAAGGTTTAGCGAGCAGAAAGGCATCTTTGTGCTTGTGCTGATCTCTTGCGTGTTCGTCTGGCCGGGCTCTCTGATCTGCTGCATTCGGCCTGTTACCAGGCGCCCATCCCTCGTGCCTCCTCTGGAAACTCCACTCGTGAGAGAAGAGAGAGCACGGGTGGGTCTCAGTGTGGTGTGAACAGTTCTGACCCCCCGGGTTTCCTGAGAACAGCTTGATAATCTCTGGGGCTCCTGGACCACATGTCAGGAACCCCCAAATGCAGAGCAAGGCTTCGTGAGAAAATCCTTTGTAATATTCCATTACGTTTAAAAAAGGCCATCTATGATTGGTTCCCTTAAAACATCCACCTCTCTGGAAAAGGCAGAGCTAGACCCCGGGGTTAAATGTGACAGCTCTGCTGTGGGACCATGCTGCTCTTTCAGCTCCTTCCTCCTGTGCTATCCTTTCTACCTCTTGTGCAACAAACACGTAACACTCTGTGCTTTAGAAGAAACAGTGAAAGCAGTTTGTTGACTGAAGCAGGAACCTGGAGGTTTCAGAGGCCACTCGGGTGTCCCCCTGGCACCCTGAGGGCCATGGCTCGCTCTCCCTCTGCTCAGGTGGGCCTCTTTCTCTGCCCAAACAGCAACACCCCCATCCCTCAGCTGCAAGTGCTTGCTCCAGGGTAACACATGACCGCCCTCCTCCAGACACTTCAGACGCCCACGGTGAGGGCACGGATGGGAGGAGGCAGCTCCTTATCTGAGGGCTTCCTTTAGTTAAGGCAGGACCTGATGTCAGGAAACTACCTGAAGCTGCCTTTCACCCCAAAAGAGGGGGTGCTTGACACCAGAGCAGCTTCCCTGCCACCAGGCCCACAGCCCCTGCGGTAAGAACTGGGCCTACAGGCCTGGGACTGGGCCTGGTCGGCGCTGGGGGCAGAAGGAGGCTGTGCACACAAATCCCCATTTATCCAGCAGCAGGAGAAAGAAGAACCTCCACACAGGTCAGTTTTCTAGGAAAGCAAAGGTGATGTCACCTTAGTTTTCCCCTGTTTGCTAGAAAGCTCTGTTAAAAGCTCTGCGTATTAGTCATACAAACACAGGAATGATCTTGGTTACTTCTCGGACACTCCCAATCGTGGCTTTGTGTATTGATTATGATCTATGGACTGGGGATGGTTTTACTTCTGTCCTCACGCCAGGGCTCCAGGTCATTGTCCTCAGCAACCAGCAGGCCTTGGAAAATGCCTGCATTGGTAGTTCTTTTGAAAAAAAAAACCCTGCCAGGCGCCAGTGGCTCACACCTGTAATCCTAGCTACTCAGGAGGCAGAGATCAGGAAGATTGCAGTTGGAAGTCAGCCTGGGGCAAATAGTTCACAAAACCCTATCTCAAAAAATATCCATCACAGAAAAGGGCTGGTGGAGTTGGCTCAAGCCATAAGAGTGCCTGCTGGCAGCTGTGATGATTCTTTGCCCTGGTGCAGCCCCCCATGTGATCATCAGCCTCATCTATTCTCCCAGCAGACAGGTAGTGCCATCCCCATCTTCCACCTGGGGAAACTGAGGCTCCAGGGACACACAGGGGTTGCACCCAAGGCCAGCAGTCAGTGCAGGGGCTGGACCCAAGCCAGCTCCCTCATTTCTGAATCCACCACTGTGCCCCACTGGAAGCAGAAAGTGCTACAAGGCCTGGCTGCCACAGATCCTAACTGCGTAGTGTGGTGGGTCTGTCTCCCTCCGTTTCTGTCTCGCTGCTGTCGTGAAGACCAGGCCTGGCTGTTCCTAGTTAGGCTGCAGGCTGCCTCTCTGGAAGGGATGTCAAGCTGCAGATGGGTGCCTGGAGCAGCTAGAGGGGCCTTGTGTATATTCCAGACACCGATGGCCTGGTAACCACAGAGCTTCCTGGGTGCTCTACCCTCATCCTGCTGCCAGGCTGGAAGACAAGGGTTGGCAGCACAGCAAACTGGTCCCCCACTAGCCCCTGGCAGGAAGGGAGGATCCCAGCATGGATGCAAGGAGTGTGGCTCTCCTGTAACCCAGCCCCAGCTAAGCACTAGAATCACTTGGGGATTTTCTAAGTCTCACCTCAATGCCATGGTGAAAGTACTTATTTCCCCCATTTTACAGATGAAAAACTGAGGCTCAG